GCCCCCATCAGTGGTTGGATGTGGCCACACTGAGAAGGAGTGAGACTGGGAGGAGGCTCTGTGCACCTGGGGGCACCCCTGACCTTCAAGGCTGCAGCCGAGTGTGGGTGGCTCAACCGTGGGGATGAGGATGTGATAATAACAATGACACTGAGGGCAGACATGCCACAGAACACGCTATTTAACAAACAGATGTATTCTGTGTTGGTTCTGGAGGCAGAAATCCCAGATCAATCTGTCTGGTCGGTTCCTACTGCAGTCTGTGACCTGGGTCTGCTCTGGCCCCACTCTTTAGCATGGAGAAGTCCACCTCCTCCCTGTGTCCGCACATGGTCTTCCCAGGGTGAGTGTCTGTGTCCTGGTGCCCTCTTCTTGTGAGGACACCAGTCATTTCAGATTAAGTCCACCCTAATGACCTCATTTTACCTCAGTCACCTCGGTGAAGGTCTCATCTTCTGGGCAGTCAATTCTGAGCAACCAGGAGTTAAGAACATTTCAATATATGAATTTGGGGTTTGGGAGAAAGACTCAACTCAGCCAATCAGAGTGGGAGAGGTGACATTGCAGGATCAGATTCCCAGGGTTGGGAGAGGAGTGTTAGGAAAGGAAGGGCAGGAGGTGGCATCCTAGAAAGTGGAAGTCGGGCAGGTCTTTGAAGCCTGAATGGTAAGGGGCAGCCCAAGGCCACTGACTGGATGGTGACAAGGAGGACTTTCCCCGCCTTGCCCCTCCCTTCCTCCCTGAGCTCCGAGTGAGAGCTGAGGATTTGGCTGTTCCGAGGGAGCTCATTGCTTCTTTCTGGGGACGTGGAGCAGATGGGGCCTGGTGTTCTCTGCAGCCACCATAAGGGAGGACACAGGTGGGCAGCAGGGCCTGTGTCAGAGCCACTCCAGAGAGTGACAGGCAGGTGGTGGCTTCTGGAGAACAGGAGGACGTTTGCAGGAGAGTGACAACCTGCCTAAGAAGGGTCAGCCATGGAAAGGGCTGGAATGTGCGCCTTTGGGCGGGAGCCATGTTAGCAGGGGTCCCAGAGACTGCCGCCTAGGCTGGAGGCTGGGCCAGGGTGCAGAGTGGGCCGGCCTGGCAGAGGCACACATTCACCATTTATTGAGTACCTACTGTGCGCCAGAACTCGGGGAGCAGGTTACCATAGTGCTAAAGCAGGGAGTCGCAGAGTACTTGTCCTCACGGGGTTCAGAACCTGGCAGGGGAGCTAGGTGCGGACCACAGCACTGCAAGTCTGATCAGTGTTGGGAATGCAGCTGCTGTGGGAATGCCAGCAAGGGAATTTAACATCCTGAAGGATGACACTCCAGCCAGGGCCAGAAAACATGGTAACAGGAAGCAGGTGAGGCTCCAGGCAGAGGTGACATTTGTCACAGGCTCATTATGTGCCGGGCTCTGCACTTAGGACCTGATGTTCCCTACCTTGTTCAGAGAGGTGATGTGATTTGCCTGAGGGAACACAGCTAGTCACTATAAGGACCAGGATATGGCAGCTGGAAATGGAAAAATCTTTTTAGTCTGAATTCCAGCTCTGCCTTTTCCTGGCTCTGTGACACTGGCTGGGCCACTTCACCTCCCTGAGCCTCGGTTTTCCGTAAAACAAAGGCCCGCTCTGTAAAACAAGGGCCTGTAAAACAAGGGCCTGTAAAACAAGGCCCGCTCCCCAGGATCTTGGTAGGTTTTCACACTTAGAAACGCTACAGGCAAAACCCAGCCTGAGCTCTCTGAGCTGGAGGTCGGGAGCTGTTCCCGGGGCTGGTGCTGACAGGAGGGGGGGTGGTCCAGCGGCCAGCTCTGAGTGGGCCTTGTTCCTCCGTAGCACACAGCCAGGAGTGCTCTGAGCTCTACCCTCATCCCAGGAGACATCCAGATGTAAGGGAGAGTGGGCAGTGAGGCCTGTACTGCCCTCAGCAGGTGCCCAGAGGTGCTGTAGACTGCGTGCAGAGGCCATGGGGAAGGGACCTGGGCAGTGCTGAACTTTCCCCCTCCTCCCTGACCCAGAGCACAGTGATTCAGAGCTGAGCAGACCTTTATGGTCTTCTTTTGACACCCTCCATCTCAAGGTGGGTATGTGGGCCCAGAGAGGACAGGGCTTTGCTCAAGTCCCATAGTGACTAGAGCAGCTTGGGATCTAGAATCCAGTGAAGCCACCACAGGGAGAACTACATGAGCAGAGG